TTTATGCAATGGAAAATTAGCATCATCCTCATTATGCCATGCCATAGGCTAGTTCCCGGAATCTCTTCTATTTTCAATTTACACTCTCTCCATATCTGATCTCATTGAATCCCATGAATTTAAAACATTATCTATATGATAACGACTCTCTAATCTGAACCTCTAGCCAAAACCTCTTCCTGGAATTTCTGGCATCTTTATCGCCACCTACTCAACATTTCTACTTGAAGTCTGATAGGATTCTCAACTGAATTTGTCCCTAACTAAACTCTTTCTTTCTCCCTACTCTAGTCTCTATTTCCTCCGCCATCTTACTTAGCTCAAAAAATGAGTGCCATCATCTACCAAATTGCTCAAACAAAAACCTAGGAAGTGTCTTTGATTCATATCTTTCCCTCTTCCTTAACTTCTAATCCATTAGTAAGTAAGGTGTCTCTTTCCAAAATATACTTCACATTCATTCATCTCTCTCCATCACCATAATTATCATCCTCGTCCAAGCTACTGTCATCCCTCTTTAGGCTATATTGCACATACTTTCTACTATTCTCTTCCTTTTCATTCTTGCCCCCCTTAAACAAACAAACAAACAAACAAACAAAAGCACACAAAAAACAACTATTCTCTTTGAAGCAGCCAGAGTTGCATTTTTTAAATATAATGAAATCACATCACTCCTCTGCTTAAGTTCTTCTAAAATCTAAAGGTTTCCTGTCACCCTGAGAATAAAACCCTTGCTGGCTCACAAAGCCCCCTGTGTCTTGGTACTTTGCTACCTTTCTGACCTCCTCTGATACCATTCGCCCTTCATGGTCAACCCTCAATGCTCCCAACTCATTGCACTTCTTTCTTTTACTCATCAGATCAAGCTTGAGCCCCCTGTAGGGCCAGTGCACTTGCCAGTCCCTTTGAAACACTCTTTGCCTTCACCTTGGTGTAGCTGGTTCCCTGCCATTCAGATCTAACTTTAATTGTGACTTCCTCCAAGAAGACTTTCCTGGCCACCCAGTCCAGAGCAACTACTAGTTCTCTCAAACTTAACAGATCACTCATCATCAACTGACTATTTTGTTTACTTATTAATTAATTTATTTTCCAGCTTAATAAGCTAAACTCTAAGCTCCAGGAGAGTTTTGGCTTTGATTAATATTTGATTATTGTTCTAACTATCTCAGTGTTTAGACTAGTGCTTGCTGTTTAGACTAGAGTAGAAAGCATTCAATAAATTTTTAAGTAAATGAATGAATGAAAGAATGTTTTAAGAGCCAAAATATATTTTCAGTTAAAAAAAAAGTCTGCTTGATGATGGCTGATGAAACCAAGGTTTCTTCAAAAAGGCAAGATTGCTTAGCATGATACCAACAAGTAAACTCCTGTTATTCCTACCAATTTTGCTATATTTTCCCTTACATTGCATTGTTTCTACTTCCTGCATTTCTATTTGCTTAAAGTCTATCTCCCCATACTAAAAATGTAAGCTCTATGAGGGAAGTGATTTTTTTCTTGTTTGTTCATCACTGAATCCACAATCTAGGATAGTAACTTGAACACAGAGACACTCAAAAATTTTTATTGAATGAGTGAAGGAAAAGGTATAGTTGAAAGTGGTTGATTCAGATCCTCTCAATTTTCAGTGAAGAAACAAAAGCACTCTTACCTGCAAGCAATGGACCACCTATTCTAAGTAAACACTTTTGATCATGGGTCTTATTATACGTTCCTATGACTCAAATTCCTTTAGACCTTGGGTAAGCCATTACAAACACTCTGCCTTAGTTTTTTCTCCCTAAAAAATGAGAATTAAAGAAAGTAAACAAACCAATCAAAGTTTTCTCATCTTCTTAGAGCAAGCCCAACTTGAGAGTTTAATAATCACAACCAATTGATTATCATTCCCAGGCATAAATGAGCACAAAAGAGCAAGTAAGAAGAATGGAAGAAAAAAAATCTGAGAGGCAATTTTTGTGCTCCTTAGAATACGACTTTTCTTATTTTTATTGAATTTGTTAATAAAAGCTCTGAAGTCTGGGGAAATGCTTCTGGGCAGCAAAAGCAAAGTTTTGAAGCTCACAGGTCTTAGGAGAAATTAATAAAATGCAGTGGGGAAATTAAATCGAACAAAAGTGCAACGAGCCATAGTTAAACCAATTAATTAAGCAGGTTTTGATATGTATATAACAGGGTTGCTGAAGAATTAAAAATAAATTCAAGACTTTAAACCAATGTTTGGCATTCAACAAAACACCAAACAGTAACATGCAGAAAACGTGTAGATTTTTAGTAGTGTTCCTTGATGAATTCCTTCCTCATTCATATGCATCACTACCTTCTTTTTTCCATTAAACTTAAAAAACACTATGTTTTCAATAATACACAAAAGTCTTAGGCTTTGCCTGATTCTCTTCTGTATTCTTTTTTTTATGTCAATTTCAAAACCATATCACTTTCTCGCAACAACAATTATAAAAATATTTATTTTTCAGTGGTATATTTACTATTTCTCAAGCAGCAATGAAAATTAACTTGCTTAGTGCACCTGCAACCTGGCAGGTGTGGGGCAGAACAGGTGAGGCATCAAGACTACAGGCTGGGGAGTCACACAGATCAAGGTTCAATTCACAACTTATCATTTAAGAGCTACGAGACCCTGCACAAATAACTTAATTTCTGTAAGCCTCAACTTCCTCCACTGTAAAAATGTTGTGCGAGTTAAAAACATTTGAAAATTCCTTGGCACAATGTCTGGCAGAGAAATATCTCAATAAAATGGAAGTATTAATGGTAGAAAGCAGTTTCCAACTTGTGGGTGTCTTTTGATTGCCCATATTGCTTGTTTGGAACTTTAAACATGTATTTCCACCAATTTTTTTTTTTTTGAAAAACCATAATAAAATGGTTGGAAGAAGGTAGGTTTCTAGACTAGTGTCCCAAGTCTTAATTTACCATAACGTTATTTCAGTCGAGAATTGTCTAATAGTATTCTGGCGAGGATGGTTAACTCGTCCTTGTTTTCCCTCAACTGAAAGTCCCTCATTCGGGAAAACCCTTTGGTCCCAGACAAGTGTAACCATGATTCTTTCATTTGGAACCTAAGCATCATTCATTCATTCATTCATCCATTTTTCTGCTGCACCAGGTACATTCTTAGGTGTTGAAGATATGAGGACAAATCATCCTTAATAACCCCAGAGCCAGCAAAGGAGACAGACCAAATGAACAAGGGTCCACAAACCCTACGCTAAATGCTAATGATGGAGGTTTGCCCAAGATGCCAGGGAAACACAGGAGTTGTGTAGCTCATACAGACTTGTGGTGTAGGGAGACTTCTCAGAGGAGGTGACCACTGAACTGGAACTTGAATTAGCTATGCAGCCCAAACCAGTGCCTTCTACTGAATTCTCCTGGGCATGTTTCACGTCTCAGCTCAGTATGACTTAAATATACATATTAAAATCCCATCTACTTCGGTTGTTATCTAAACAGACTTTGAATAACTTCTGATATGCATGTCATTTTTATGGAATGTCAGCAAAATATGAATATAACTAACCACAAACCCTTGATTTTATAGTAGGTCTTTCCACTCTGGAGATACAGCTAAGTTAAAATCTACTGTTAAGAATGCTAATCGCCTGCTTGCTTTGTCATTATTTGAAATTCATTGCACAAAGGAAATTATTGGGACAACATGTTAAATTGAAAAGAAAACAGAGGCTATAACAAATACTATTGTTCTATCCACAGTAATGTAGTGGTTGCCCCAAAGTTAGCAATTTAGACACGTTTCCTAAAGCTTGTTATCAAAGAATTGCCATTCTGTTCTTTATACTTCAATAACTTTTAAAGCCTTCCTGAACATGTCTCTATCACCATATGCTGCAGCAAGATGATAAGACACAGTCTACTTATACAACAGAAAGCTCCAGTGCACTTTTACTGACTAATAGCCTGAAGACTTGGTTCTCCACTTGGAGGAAGAAGCCAATTTTTTATAGATTCTAAAGGTGAGAGGGGACATATTCCCAGACAGACTGTCAGCTTCGTGGGGGGGTAGGGACCACATCTGTACTATTCACTGCTGCTTTCCCAGCACTTGGGACATAATTGATGTACAAAACGGTTGAGTAAATAACAAAACACATTTAAAAGTCTTCACTCTAGGGCCGGCTCCGTGGCTTGGCGGTTAAGTGCGCGCGCTCTGATGCTGGCGGCCCGGGTTCGGATCCCGGGCGCGCCCCAAGGCACCACTTCTCCGTCCAGCGCGAGGCCGAGTCCCACGTACAGCAACTAGAAGGATGTGAACCTATGACATACAACTATCTGCTGGGGCTTTGGGGGGAAAAAAATGAATAAATAAAATCTTTAAAAGTCTTCACTCTAAATTTCCAACAAATGGTCATTCAGTCTCCGAAAAATTCTAGGAACTGAAAAACCCTCTTCGACGTTCATAAAAATCAGTAAACCTCTTTGACAACAGCAAGTGATACAGCTTAAGTTTCAAAGTCCATTAGTGACAACACACGCCAAACCCACACGTTCTATTTATGTAGAGGCCAGTTAGTGTCACTTTATTCCTTCGTCTCAGACTACATCGATAATCTTGACTAGTAAGAACATACATGTGATTGTGCATAAACCATCCTTGTTATAGTAAAGATATCTCATACCATGCCTTCTGAAGAATATGGACCAAAAGCATCAATTTATAGACTCATCATTCACTATCATTATCTATCTTAAGCCTTATAGAGTTTATAAATGTATGTCAGATAATAGCCTTATTGACTATGATGGTTCTTGGTAATTTTGAGCAATCAGACAAAGGAAAATACTAGAATTCCCACTTCTGAGCATTTTTTGCCTTTTGGTCCCGGTATTTTTTTACACACATACATTTGTCAATGTATATCTAATTGACACACCTGACACATTTAAAATTCAATGGAAGAGTAGAAACAATAAATCTTTCTAAATTTTAAGTTTTTCGTATCAGTTTTTACCTTTGAAGTTTACTACACCAACTGCAGTTGAAGCCAATCTGAGAGGATACACAGGAGCCACAATCATTAAACTGGAGACATGCTAGGAAACAGGAGAGAATAGAGTCATCAAGACTAACTGATAGCACGGAGAAAAAGAAAACAACATGACTCAGCCAAATAAAAAATCACCCACTCATCCTCATAGACGAGCAGGGTGAAGATACCCACGCGTGCCAAGCACAATATTATAATTATTGGTAAACAGCCTTGCAAATCATTTTTTCCACCTGGCTATGTTCACACAGTAACTTACTAGGTAATGGGGTCATTTCCACAGCTGAAATGTTGGTAATTTTTGACATTTGTAGCTCTACTCGGTGGTATTCATAAATTGTTCTTCTTCGAACATCTGTAAAAAAAAAAAACAACTTTCAACATTTCTTCCCCTAGAAAACACAGCGTTTTAATAAAGAATGTAGAATTTTATACTTTGCACCTGATGCAGTTTTAAAGTAAAGATTTAAATCTCTTCACAGAGATTGATTATTTAAAAAACCTGGAAATCATGTGCTCATGGACCAAAAAGTCTTTTTGTCAATGAAGTTGAAAATGTTGATTTAGGGTCTCAGATACCCCCCTCAGCTAGCAGGGCTCCAACCCACGGTCACCCAGAGGATACCTAAGACGTTTTCTTGATAGATTTATATATTTTGAAAAATTTTGACATATAAAATCAAGAAAGTAAGATGACACCCATTTCTCTGAAACTTAAGCTAAAGTGAGTCCTTTAGGGATGGGTAGCAATTAAAAATTTCTCACAGCCTAAATAAAGTTAGTTTTTGCAAGAATAAGAGTCTGATTGCTTTAGAGGTTTAGAATAAATTTCTCTAATAAAAGTAAAAACAAAACTTAAATTATTAAAAACAAATCAGTATTTTTTAATTAAATATATAGTATCATATCTAAGCAAGGTTAGTAATTAGCACTTAGACTGCATGCAGGAATTTATAATAACTCCTCAGCAAATCCAGCAGTGTTCCTGAGGAATAGGCTAGATGGAGAATTTGATTAGAACTTGAATAATTGAAAATCAGATAAATATAAGCAAATTTATTTTATAACAAAACAAGATGTTGATGAAATATATTTAAAATCCCTTTTAAAAAAAGACCTGAGCCTTATAAATGAGCTTGCCTGAGTTTGGTAAACGTCAAGGGAGGAGTAATGTTATTAGTATTTTATTTAGGTGTTGGAATGCTTGTAATGACAGGAGTGCATTTCCTGAATACTATCATATCCATCAGGAATCACTTGGGAAGCTATAAGTTATTTTAAAAATATCATAGTATCCAGTCTTGGGAAATCACATGTCATAGTGGTTAATCACGCACACTCTTGAACAGTTGGTCTAGCTCAAATCCCAGTGTAGCTACTCAGTATCTGTGTGACCTTGGGCCTTGGTTAGCCTCAGGTTCCCCATCTATAAAATAGAGATAATAGTACCTACATCACTGAGTTGTTTTGAGAATTAAAATAAGACAATAAGTAAAAATTGCTCAGAACAATCCCTTTCACATTGCAAGCGCTGAATAAATGTCAGATTTGATTTTTGTCTAGCTTCAGTATGGCAACCATAGATAATACTGGTTATACGCTGCATATAATGATCTAATTTCTATAGATCTAAACTCATTGAAATCACTGTAAGGCTCTGAAATCAGGCTTCTAGGAATTTGTTTCCCATCTTAGAGAAAGTTAAATTTTGACTCAAGTCAATAGAGCCAACGATGATCTCCTCTAGGACATAAAACAGGAGAGTGGTGCCCAGAAGGCAGTGAGCTGGCTTTCAGTAAAAGTGCTCAGGACTGAAGATCCCTACACATCCAGGAGAGAAGTCAAACATCTACTTAGAACCTACACATATCTTTACTTTTCTCCACTCATATCCTTTCACCCGTTTCTGATTATTCACCATGAAATCCTACTCTAGAGATAGAAGGGGGAGGGAGTGGCCCAAAATGAACTCTTTGGGGGCTAGGAGTGGTTCCAGAGTCATTCACTGAATACGGTCATGTGCCACATAAAGATGTTTCAGTCAATGACAGACCGCATATAAGATGGTGGTCCCATAAGATTAGTACCACATACCCTAGGTGTGTAGTAGGCTGTACAATCTAGATTTGTGTAAGTACACTCTACGATGTTCGCACAATGATGAAATCGCCTAACGATGAATTTCCCGGAACGTATCCCCGTTGTTAAGCAACACATGACTATTTATCTTCAGGTTTATCAGATTGGAAAACACTTTAAAATCCTAACCCAATTAATTTCTTTTTGGTGTAAGTGAAAGATGCATATATACTTTTCAAGTGTAAAATTTATCAAACATTAGAGAAAATGCTGATTTCATGTTTCTTAAGGCACACGAATCGTCGTCTTTTTTTTTTAAACTTAAAGCATATAAAAAGATTACTCAACTTCTGCCTTTGCCTAAAAGTAGAATGCATTCTTATATACTGCTTTCCCATGTATTTTGCTAAACAAATTAGTTCCCAGAAATAAATAAATAATATGGCTCTGCCATGAGATCACTGGGATGGCGGTTTTTTGAGTCTTCTTCATACTAAAGTTCCCACGGTATCTATCATATTAGTAGGTGCTTAAAATACTAGTTTTTTTCATTTCATGTTGTACTTTGAAAAGCTCAAACCACTCACATAATGACCGTGAAGCCCCCGGGAGTTAATTATTGATGATGCATTTGGGGTAAAGGGAAGGAGTGACCTTTTTTGCTATGCTGTTCTATCATCTGCTCAAACACTTCCGACTGTTGGGAGATGATTTTAACAAAATCAAAATTAATGAGAATGACTTTTGTTTGATGACCTGCCAATTAATGACAGCTTCCAAGTGGTCATTTCTGTTGTATTTCAGAGATACTCCTGTCACAAACAAGGAATTAGGAATGCTTTTACTGGCAGCTCTTGCCAATACTAGAAGCTTTCATTTGATTCCAGAAATGTATTTAGCTCATGTGTCTTCTTTAGAAAGTCAGCCAAAATAATGTTTTACCAAACATTCAGTCTTAGTAGTGGTGATACACCTTCAACTGTTTTATTACAACTTTACAAAACCAAGATCAACCATAATACACATTAGGGGTTTTTAAAAATTAGAAAAAAAAAAAGTGAAATATCTGAGCAGACTCACACAGAGAGAATAAAGTTCAGTAATCAAAATCTTAAGGTGATGATTCAAAGCGTAACTATTGAATTGCATTTTTCAGAAATCCTGAGCAATATCAGCAGGAGGGACAGAGTGATCATATGGAAACACCAGGAATCCTTTCCAATCAACATCCACTCCAGCTGAAGTCAACAGTTATAATGAGTACCCCGTGGCATGATTAACCATAATCTAGTTTATTTGCCTCTCTTGAAAGCTAACACTCACATAGAGAATGTATGAGTAATTTCCCAAATTGGCTGATTCTTACATTTATATAAATACCTTAATATTTTGTCTGAATAGTCAAGTAAATGATTTGCTAACATTTCCCTATTTATGTGTTGCAAATGCTTAATCACTGGCCCCAAATGATTCTTTCTTACTTTCTTTTCTAGTGCTAGTTGAGCTCACCATATAGCATCATTTATCAAGTACTCTTTAATGTAAATAGCATGTATGGCACAACTACAAGTTCGTTCCCAGCATGAAGACTCAGGAAAAAAAGAGACTCTTGAGAGAAAAAGTTCACTATCACAGCAGTTATAAGCATCCCACACAAAAATGCAATGCATTTGCAGAATTAGCTAGTCGCAGTTGTTAAACAAAGCATCTACAAATAGAATATGCTTTAGCCTCAAATATTTTTTTTATTCCTTCTGTAGTTCTATTTCTATTAAATAATAATGTAATTCAGCATTGGATAAGGCAACACAAGATTTAGGTGTCCATGAAGCGCCATTCTGAACCTCTTAGGTTTTCCTCTCATCATTCCTTCACTGCTTGCGAAGTTCAGGACACAGCTAAATCCTAAATGGCCAGACTTTATAAGTTACCTGAACAGGCAGAAAGGAAGTCAGAAACTTGATCTAAAAACACTCTTCACCTTTCTCCTCCTTCCACATTTATTTTACTAATGGCTTAAACCAGCTGCGTTCTTGACATCCGTCAGTAATTACTCTGCCCAAGAAGAGAACAAGAACCAGTGTCGAGACAGTAAATGGTCAACATAGTGTCACAGTGGGCTGATGTGCTATGTGGACTGCAGAGCTGACCAACATCATGATTCCCATTGGTCCAGGGACTGTTCCTCTGAACATGGCACGTGCTCCTGAGACCCATGGGGAGATTTTGTAATGTACATTTGCAATGCCATTACATCTTTTTTTTTTTCCTGAGAGAAAAGGAGATTGGTATTTTATTAAATGAAATTGGGCGAAATGCTGTAAGATTTCTTTATTTTAAAATCAAGTTTCTGAAAAGAAGTTTTTAGTGCTAAATCACTCAGATGTTTGGCACTGATGTGAGGGAAAAAACTATATTTTCAAGATATTAAACTTCCTATGGCAAAATTCAATTGGAAAATTTAACGTGGGCATGTTTATAAATGTAGGCAACCAGTATTAGTTAAAAAGAGAAATATTCTCTGTGTAGTAGGAAAGTGTAAGTTAAAATAGAAATATTCATTATGTAATTGGGAAAAAGTAAGAAATAATTAAGGCAAAGGAAGCTATAAATTTTAAGGCAAATATGAAGGAAAAAAGTAGAAAATCTAATCTCTGAGGTCATAATTTAAAACAAAAAAAAGCAGATAGAACTTGATAGAAAAATTCAGTTCAGATTATTTTTGAGAACTCTTTTTGCTATTTTCCTCTGCCTTCCACAGTAAGGCAAACACAGAGTGGAGTTTTGCAAAGATGAGCTTTTGATTCACTATTTTGAAAAAAATAAAAGTACATTAAGTTGGGTTTCTCTTCTTTGGACCAATAAATCCCAGGCTAATAGGTACCCAATAATTATGCTGAATAAATGAATGTTTAAATGTCTTGAATTTTTAATGATATATTAAAGTCCTTTCTGTGAATTTTGGGATTTTATATTAGAAATAAAAGAATCCCAACGTTATTAAATAAATTGAGAGACATGCCTCTAAATTGGTAAAAATTTATTTTACCTGAGATTGTTGTATAGATAAAAAGTCAATGAGTGAATGAATGAAAGAATAAATAAATAGAAAAAAAAAGAAACAATTTAACCACAAGTCCTTGAAGAATTCTTTTTTGTTCATAAAAATTCTAAAAAAAAAAAATTACAAATATGTTAAAATTAACTAATCATCGATTTCTAATATGCAGAATATTCTTAGATTTTTGCTGCTTTTTAAAAATCAAATCAGAGTCA